AAAATTCCACTTAACAGCACTGCCCCTTGGCGGAGGGGATTCTTTAGCTAATAAAGCCACAGCTAGCAAATTTGCATTAATTGGTGGAAGCGCATTTTAATTTTACACACCATTTCCTTGAATTAAATCTGAAAGCAATACATAAGCATACACGTTGTCATAGATGACTGATCCTCCAGCTGATGTTATAACAGACCTTCGGGGAAATTCAGTTTCGTTTTTGGACAAAATGGTCTTCCTTACGAGGCTTTAGTCCATCCCTCGCCTACAACGAGCTTCCACAAGCCAGCCACCCGTATCCTTCCCATGAGTTCCAGACCGATGGCGAACACAGCAAACCAACTCACTAAATCAGTCACAATTCGCAAGTTCACCCAACATGTACACCTAAATATAGGGTCGGTGGCATCCGGTTTAAGATTTGCCCGTCACTGCGGCCAGCCACAGGACGTCCGCGCCTAAAGAGGAACCATGGGCTGCTTGCGCTGCACCACCAATAGCTCCAAACACCCACCCCATATCCTGCGTAAAACCAAAAGAATAGGACCGGGCGGCATGTGGCTGGGTGCCACGTTTCATCAAAGGAGCCGACCCACACTCCATCACAGCCAAACCAAGCATGCTGCATTTGTGAAGCAGAGGCACGCAAGGTAGTTGCAGGACCGTAGTCCGCTCCACACTGAGTGCATGGAACCATTCTTTGCTCCTAACGGTCAAAATGACTGTGCACCCCATCCCCACCAGCAACGCCCAACTGCCTCCTGGAGTCAGTATGGACGCGGCAGTGGGTGATAGACAGGTAGGCATCTTGTCAACCTGCACATCATGCGCAGCCACACCATGGATATCAAGCAACAGCCAGGCACTTGAAAGGAGAAGAGGAAATAAACTAAATCGCATGATGCATACAGATGCGTTAACCTAACTCTTCACTAAATTAGCATATGAAGTATGTGGGTTAGCAACGAATCCGCGATAAGTTCAAAATGTCCATATTTACTTAAAAACTGCTACAAACGCTATAAGCTTTATGAAGATAAGCTCAAGTAACGTAACCAACGTGTGTAAGTTAACAGAATATTATTCACGTAGACAGAACAAACCAAATAAAGTGAAATGAAATTTATCCAGCTTAAAATGACCCAGTTTAATTATAAGTTGCTTTCGCCCAACTGCGACGAAGAATCATCATATACCTACATGTAGCCATACACACCAATCCAGTATGTTACTGGTTAAATTGCTATATTTTTGTACAATAACTTACGACACCTGTTTGTATTATGATGGTTACGTCTTCACTGGCTTGCCTCGCATAAACGGGACTAAAAGAGGTATTTATTTATTTATGTCTGCAGCTTCTTCCAAAAAAGAATAGTACTCCAATACAACAAGCCTAGTCCTCAGACTTCTAAATGTTAGGTCTGCAACCAATTCATGAACTAGAACAATGGGATACTGGTGAAGTTCACCGAGTTTGTGGTCGAGGCTGCTATGATGAAACCCCGAAAATTCATAGCTTTTATTCGGAAACAATTGTGCCCTGCGTTATGTGGGGTTGTCTGCTCATGAGACCTTGGATTAAATACCGAACTCACGCTGATTTTTGGCCATCGCCAACACAGTGGTAACTTTGAATTTTCCGCTGCCTAGCGCCAAAATCTTTCATGCTGCTACTCTTACCTTGCAAAATGCTGACATGAAAAAATACAAAAGGTTCGGTTGTACCTTTTTTAACAAGCTGTTTTACTATTCCAATGCAGTCGTGTCTGTATGCGTAGTTGATCATGCCTTCACTGACGTTCCAGGTTCTGTCGAAACTGTACAAAATGTTATTTATATACTATAGCGCGAATGGCGACCTACGGTGAGGTTGTACATCGTCACCCAGTGACACAATGAGCGCTTCAGAACGATCCCACCAAGGTGCGGTAGCGTCGGATACATTCTTGTTGCCGTTGCTTCCGAGGCTCGTCCTTGGCCTGGGATAATATTTGTCAGCGACAAACGCAATCAAGGAGAATTACAGTAGCACACGCGAACCACATCATTCTCAAGCAAACAATGACCACAGGACTTGCATTAGCGTACACCGCAGTCCCAGAAACTCAAAATGTCTAAAGTATGAAAGTACTAGAGTAAGGTAAAATGAGAGCTAATAGATTTATTTATGCAATAAAGGGATAAGCTAAACTGGGGAGGAGAGTTTAGGGCCGAGGTCCAAATATGTCAAAACGGTGTTCAGGCTCTTTTAACGTTGGTGAAAAAGCCCCGTTTTCTGGCAAAGCATTCCCAAGATCTACCATCATGTATATTAAACCTAAGTCCGTCCAGGACGCATCCGAGCGAAGTCTTGCAACTTTATTTATTGACCCCAGAGAAATGGCAACGGAGTTGATTGAAAAGGGTAAAAATTATTCTGGACCCATTTCCACGGAACGTGGACGTTAGATCAAGTCCAAGTCGCTCCGATGGCGATAAGGATGAGATAAAAACCATCACACCTAATATAGCCACTATGCGAATGAAAATTTCTGTAGCACATGGAGCGTTATGGTTCCCAACCTTAGCCCACCACGCTGACGTCCTGTTCTTGCTTAGGCAACAGTCAACCCTGGACTCAATATCTCACAAGTCTCCTATCTAAGGCCAAGGAATACCGAACAAACGTATCGCCGGAAATGGTTCAGAATGCAGTGCGGATAGTCCAAAACCTCCTAAAACTTTCCACGTAGCTTCGCTCCAATGCTTATCAGACTTAGCTTCTGATGACAGCTTGACACCCGGGATAATTACTTAGCCGAATTTACTGTCGTGGAAACGCAAGTCCTTGGGCTGCTGCAGGAACTGAACCCTTCTAAAGCATCTGGACCTGATTCAATTCACTCGAAGCTTCTGCAAGCGTTGGCATTGGGACTAAGTGGGCCGCTGACAATGGTGTCTAAGTCACTAGACGGCTCTACATTACCTTCTGAATGGAAGGAGGCTGCCACCTGTCCTATCTTCAAAAATGGCTACAGGAGTCTGCTAGCCAATTATAGGTCAGTCCGTCTGACTAGCGTCCTGGTCAAACTGCTTGAAAAACTGATAAAGGATTCGTTGAAAGGTCACCTGAATAGTGTTAGTCTATACAGTGGTGACCAACACAGGTACCGGAAAGGGTATTCGTGCCTGACGAATTGGCGGATTGCTCCTGAAGCTTGGGCCGAGGCAGTGAACATTGACCACGAAGTGGATGTGCTTTTCGTTGACTTCACGAAAGAATTTGATATGGTAGGTTACTTGAGGCTATCACAAAACCTGAGCTACTACGGCGTAACTGGCCGCGCTCTTCACTGGGTATTTGCATTTTTGCAGGGAAGAGAGAAGTGTGTACATGTGGGTCGCAGCTTATCCTTTAGTTAAACTGTCCTTAGTGGTATAATACTCGGCTCTGTCCTTGGACCGATGCGGTTATCCATCTACCTAAACGAGCTTGGGGTTGGCATACCTATTGTTTGCTTATGACCATAAACTATGAACTGTTGCAAACGTCCCTGGGGGTTGTGCGGCCATTCAACACGCGCTGGACAGACTATGGGACTGGTTTACTTTGTGGCTACTGCCCATTAATTGTTCCGTCCATCGTATAGCAGCAACTTTCCTCCCTTCGAGATAGTGCCCGGTGGGGTCGAACTCCGCTTTGTCTCCAACCGGGCAGACCTAAGCTTTGTCCCTTCTTGGTTTGGGCATTTTGATGCCAACTGGAAGAAGGCCGCAAGTAGGGGTTTCAGAATGTTCGGGTTAATACACCGTTCTTTCTTGGTCCTAACTGCCGACGTAGTCGTGAAGTTGTTCTCAGTTTTCTTTTGGCCCCAGCTAAAATATTGTGTCCACGGTTGCCCGTCCTGACTTGTTCGGGACAAATTGGGGCTAGAAAGGGTTTTGAGAGCAGGCACCAATTTGCTCAACGTGTTATAGGGGCAAGCGTATCCCGGGCATCTACTTAGCTTGGCTATGTGTTCGATGCAATACCGACGGCTTCGAGGAGACCTAATCCTTACTTACCGCACTATAACTGGGAAGCTTGGACCGGACGAGCTGCCTATTTAGCCCGGCCAGGCTACGTTGTCTTCGTGGTCATCCCATGAAGCTACAATGGCCGCGTTCCGACCGCATCTGGGCGAAAGCTCGGTTATCGCGTAGAGCTATCTAGCGTTGAACGCGCTTCCAGAAAGTGTAGTCAGTGAACTTACAGTTAAGCGTTTCGAACGTCAGTTAGCCGCCCACGGGTGGCAACATGAAATATTTTCCCTTCTCCTGACCATGTCCATTTTCCAACTTTGAGTTCATATGCTGGCATTCTCCTCACTCATTGGTGTTATCCTCATTTAAAGGACTTTCCTTCTTTTTCTTTTATTTTCTTTCCACGTCCTTACTGCACGTGCCCTACTACTAGTGCAGGGAACGTGGGCAGTCATTGGTTGACCGAGGTGTGGTTCGAATGTTTCGTTTTTAGATCCAGCAAGATCTCCTAACAACTTATCAGTTCCTGGTTCAACGATCCACTGAAGAAGGAACAAGCAAAAGCTTGTTCTATCGTTCCAGTCCCATCTGAATCCGAATCTAAGGAATTTGAAGTATTTCATTTTCGCTAAGAGGATAAAGTTTCCAAGTCAATATGGCACTGATGGAAAAACTGAACACGCATGGTGTGCTATGGAAATTCCCGCCTTCGCGCGACACTGTTCTAAAAGCTCCATTAGAGATAAAATACACATAACGCCTATGTATACTGTCGTTCCCACCTAAACATGCACCTGGTAACTTCTGTTCGTCGTAGAGCATTGAAACAATTGTGGCATTAGTGAGCCACAAAAAAATAATAAGAACCCCAATAACTAGAACCACGGAGGAGAATAAAAATCTATTCGCTGTATTTCTTTGTGTATTAACATATTTTATCAACCAAATTTTTTGTGTTCTCAGGCAAACCAACACAATGAACTGGCTCTGCGAATAGGGTGTGTTCTGCTTTCTTCGTCGGATGAGTTGTTTTCCATACCGCTCTAGGGCTGGATCACCATCTACTTATGAGGATGGCCCTTTATTTTGGGTAAGCTATATCTCATGTTTAATAGGATTGTTTCGTCCACTTTTTGGATGCTGTATTTTTATAATGCCTGACAGCGCTGTCTGCAAAGATGGACGTCCAGCCGCCCCATTAAAGCCCCTAGCTTAAAGAAAAATGTGTAAAGGAATTGTGTAATACGTCTAAACCTCTTCGTAAAAATTATGCATCGTCAACACCACTGATCTTTGTGTTTAAGTCACAGACTTTCAACAAAATTGTAATTCCATACAGCGTGAGTGAAATTCTTCCGCTGATTGACCGCTTTTGTGCTCTTAGCTATCTCACAGACTCATTTAGAATGACTATCGGTTATTGGAAACTTGGTGTTGCGTTGCGGCTTATGTATAATGTTAGTGCAATTTAAAACTCGATTCCGGCTGAGGGTAGACGGTATATGTCACCATAAATACTTATTCCCGGCGTGTGATAACACTGCACTGGACAAAGCTGAGGTTACAAGTCGGTAATATTTGGTATCACCACCCCAGCGCATCCGAATGACGCTCAGACAAACTCAGACTTTTGGTCCTCCAGGTAGGGGGTTGAAATGGATGTCGCCCAATTCTGTACAACTAAGACATTGCCACCTCCCCGCTGCCTTGCGGGCAGTCTTTTGAGCCAAGAGCTTTGAATGAGGACCCTAATCCTTTTCCCGTCTAGGTCTGGGCGCCCTGGAAGTATCTCAACCCACATATAACCATGACATTTTCTTCAATCATAAACTTCATCCTGCATCGGCCGTCGCGCAGATTATCAAGGGTCGGCTTATCTGCTGCACACAACAGGGCGGATAAGCAAAAAAATGCTGCTGCTGGCGCCTCCCTTCTTCCTTTCCCACTTTTTTCTCTTACTCCCATCCCGACTCCTATTACTAACTTTCTCTCTATAATTCCCAGCTTAATTGACAGCAACCGAAGTGCCACTGAAGTAGAACCATCTGCAGCCACCATCCCACAGCACCTATTGGACGCCTATCGGCGACATTCAACGTTCGCACTCTAAGACAAACTGGTCAACAGGTTGCACTCGCACGCACCTTGGACACACTGGGAATTGATGTGTGTTGTGTGTCCGAAACTAGGATCAATGACCCTAACGGGATTATTGAATTAACTGCACCCGGCTTATTCTCTCGTTATTGGTTGCACGCATCCGGAGACGCCGATGCGGCACTCACGGGTTAAGCTGGTGTAGGTATCATTCTCAGCTCCAAGGCTGAGTCATTGTTGGTTGACTGGATTCCGGTGAACAGCCGTTTATGTGCAACCCGTTTGACGACATCATCTAAGGTTGATTCACGAAGTAGCACAAAACGCTGTTTGTTTGTGATTTCCGTTTATGCTCCCACCGACTGCAGTTCTAATGCAGTCAAGGACACATTCTATCACGAACTGAACGCGCTGCTACGCAGTGCTACTAGTTCAGATATTGTAGTACTTGCAGGGGATATGAACACACAAGTAGGACGTCTGAGCTCTTCAGAAGCTCAGCTGGGTGGTAAGTATGGGCTTAACTCCGAGCGGACTGACAACGGTGAGCGTCTGCTGCAACTGTGTGCGGAGCACCAGTTGTTTCTTATTAGTATTGCTTTTAGACACAGTGGGCGCCGAAGTGCCACTTGGCGTCCACCTGTAGCCAGCGATGGACCCGAATTGACCACATAGCCATAAGTTACAGGTGGCGTGGTTCCATACTGGATTGCCGCTCGTACTGGAGTACCTGTGTCGACTCTGATCATGCCCTGGTACGCTGTCGTTTCTCGATGGACTTTGCCGGGAGGCGCACCAACGTCTCCTCCAATTTGCAACTGAGAAATTGTCTCAGCCCTCGGTCAGGCATGCCTATCAAGAAGCACTGCATACTGAACTCGCTATTTTGCTCTGATGACACTGAGCTTCAGTGGAATAGGATGTCGACCACCATGCCCGACGCAGGAGCATCTGCTTGTGGCACTATCCATCGTCACCGCACCAGTCACTGGATATCCGAGAGGTCGGTGAACCTGTTGGAATCTAGAGGACACCTCCCAGCTGGCTCTGAACACAATGTGACCAGACTGGCTATCAGGCATGAACTAAAGCGGAGCCTACGTACTGACATGGAAACTTGGTGGACCAGTCGGGCTCAAGAAATGGAGGAGGCAGGAGGAGTAGGCAATTACCGCAAGCTCTTCCAGCTAATCCGCACCACTGGTCCCAGGAAACCAGGCTTCAGTAAGACAATCAGAGACAGCGCGGGTGCGCCGATACACAATAAGGAGCGCCGTATGGCTCCTTGGGCTGAACACTTTGAAGATCATTTCAGCTGGCCCCTGCTCCCGGACCCCTTCCTACTCAGGCGATGCAGGACGAACCATGGACGGTTAGTTTAGAGCCTCCGTTGGAGGCCGAGGCCCGAAAGGCGATCACAGCCCTCAATCGTGTTCGTGCCGCTGGCCCGGATTCCCTCCAACCTGCACTATTTTAGGATGGAGGTGAGGTCCTCTGCAGGGCACTGACCTCCCTATTCGAACATATCTGGAAGGAAATGTCCCGGCTAACTGGAGCGATCCGATTATAGTGGCAATATACAAGAAGGGCAGTCGCACAGACTGTTCTAACCACAGGGGTATTAGCCTAACGCCAGTTGTGACAAAATTATTGGCCTCGATTATCGTTCGTCACCTCACTGCAGACCAGGAATCTCGGATTAGGGAAGAGCAGGCCGGTTTCCGCCCAAGACGTGGCTGTTTGGACCATATATTCACTTTGCGGCAGGTGTTAGAGCAGCGCCACACATACCGCAGACCGACAATAGCTGTGTTTCTCGATTTCAAGAGTGCGTTCGATTCAGTCGATCGATCGATTCTGTTCGAAATATTTGCGCGGAAATGTGTTCCCACGAAATATGTGAACATCCTTCGTGCTCTATACTCGAACACTACAGGCCGCGTCAGGGTCTATGGTGTCCTATCGGATAGCTTTTCGACTACAAGTGGCGTTCGTCAGGGTTGTCCGATTCCACCAATTTGTTCAATTTTGTCGTGGATTCTATCATGGAGTGTTCCCTTGGGGAGTCTCAGGATGTAGGCGTTGAAGTGCTGCTTGGTGAAAGGTTAGTTGGTCTAGATTATGCGGACGATATCGCCTTGCTTTTCGACGATTTTGCGGCGGCACAATCAACCCTGAATAGCCTGTCCAGAGTGGTCCCATTATTTGGTATGCACTTCACACCTTCAAAATGCAAAATGTTGCTGCAGGACCACCAACTACTTGATGACCCCTTGACGTTTGCTAACGAGGAACTCGAGGTGGTTGATCAATTCACTTATCTTGGCAGCTGCATCAGCAATGACGGGCGCATAGAAACTGACATCAGCTCACGCATTGCAAAAGCCAGAGCTATCTGCGGCATCTTTGGCGACAGAAGCGAGTTTCCCTTCGTCTGGAAGGCCGGGTATACAAGGCCACAGTGAGGGCCGTTATGCTTTATGATACTGAGACTTGGCCCCTTCGGTCTAAAGATCTGAGGCACCTTCAAGTCTTTGATCATCGTTGTTTGCGAAGCATTTCTAGTGTCGGATGGCACCAGCGTGTCCGCAACGATGATGTGCGTAGGCGACTACTAGGTGGTGCTAATCATGCTAGCTCCCTAGAACAACAGATAGCACTGAATAAGTTGCGTTGGCTCGGGCACGTGCTATGCATGCCTGGTCACCGCTTACCTAGGAGGGCCTTGTGCAGTCTACCAGGTGTTGGGGGGCGCAAGGCTCAAGGTGGACAGAAGTTGACTTAGCAGCGGGAAATGAAGTCACTGACGACCAAACTGGGTGTCGTTGGTCCGTCTCGCCTTCCGGGTTGGAGTCCACGTGACTCACCTTGTGCTTGGCTCGAGATTTTACAGGACATGGCTCGCAACCGACACCAGTGGCGCGTCTGCTGTTGTCTCCTAATCGGATTGTCTGTTTAAAGTGTGTTTGGTGCTGAGTTATCTGCGGGGTAATGTCTGATTATGACACGTGGCAGTGAAAGCCGCAAGGAAGCTGTCTCGACGATGCCGCCTTATCTTTGCACGATAGCCAGCTGTTTGTGACGGAATGTTGTCTACACAAGGTGTAAGCACCTTGACCCTGAATATTTGCTTAGGGCATTAAGGTTTTCAGGTAAGTCCCCCTTCTTATTCTTTATTTCATAGATCCTCATGTTTGTATGGCAGCGAAGCATCAGCTCAAATGGCTGATGTACTGCTGTTGTTGTTGATGATGATGACTGACGCTCGAAACCCTCAACCGTCTATTCCCTAACGAAGTGCTCCGGAAGCTAGTTCCAATGTTCATTGAATCAGTGCCACAGGCGTGTTTCCGTCCTAATCCGGTCAAAACGCAATGAGTGCAGCTGCAACGGGCGACTTCTTAAAGTAGGCAACTAAGCGGGACTAAATAACTAGGACAAGTCTAGACCGATCTTACCTTTTAGAATACTACAAGTGCGGATTAAGTTCCCTCTAATTCTCCGGTAGTGCATTGAGTACATTCCCAAACTGCAAGTGTTCTGGATACGTCTATACCCTTGGACCCTGCACTAACCTTGTACCCACTGGCAAAACCCTCCAGTTCCATTTCGTCCCGTACAAGACATGGTACACAAGCCTAGGTACAATATTCACACTGGTGTCGCACAAAAGCTAAGAGCTTCACAAACATATCGTGTGGCGTGCTCTTGAGATGCACATCGAAATCTCATCTCCAACAGCCCCATTAGCAGTGATACAACTTCCCAAGTAGACAAAGCTCTCTACAACCTCCAGTGTTTCACCACCGAGAGAGTACAGGCACCGGCACCTGCCGGTCTTGAAAGAGAACCTCCCATTTAGATGGTGAAAAGTACATACCATATTTTGATGCTTACATCGTCAAGCCGTTTAGTGCACGTTAGACGGCCTGTGGATCGTTACCCAGCAAGTTGATGTCATCAGCACAGTCCAAATCAACAACTCAAATACCTCGTGGGAACTTAACGCCAGCGTTCAACCTATCGTATAACGTTCAACGAGTCGCCAAAAACTAACGCAAAAGATCATGTGGCTGCTGGTAAAATTTCTCCTTGACTGCATTGTCTTCAGTCTGTAGGAGCTAAGGCGGAGATGACAAACAAAGCACGCTTAGTGTCTCGACGCCTTACATCAAATGAATCTTTTAATCGGACTGCGCATAGCCGACTGTTGATTGGGGGCCAGACAAGCAGAGCTGATTCG